CCCAGCCCTCGATTTTCCAAAATAATAAAACCTCGCTCAAGTGGAGGCTACCTGAAGACTATGCTGGGAAAAAAAATGTTGTACTCACCAGAAGGTGAGTTACACAGTGTCGTTTTCAAAGGACCCACTGGATTTGCCTCCAGGTGCCCTGTGACTGGTGACTTCCGAGCAGGGCCAAATAAGGTTCCTGGTGCTCATGGTCTTTGGCAGGGTTTGCACTGTGGTGGTGTGGGCGTGCACAGGTTTTGGGGAAGCATCAGCAGTGGAAGTCAAGACTTCTTACTAGAGGCCGTGCTTCAGGGTTTAAGTCAGCCTAAAGCTGTAATGATGACAGGTAGCAACGGGTGTGCACTTCTGCAGATTTTTCCACATCTGCATTACAGCAGTGTCCAGGTGTTGGCCAAGGTAACCTATGCTGCTGAAATGGGGATGCCGGATCTGGTGAAGGTTGGGACTGATGCAGGACGGGCCACCGTGGCGGCTCGGTGTTGCACCCAATGCATTGGTGCTGTTGGGGACGGGCAGCCACTCTCACCCGGTCCCTTCCCAGGGTGACCATCACACCCCCTCAGAAAGGGTTCAGTCACCCTGGAGCCACGGTGGATCTTGCAAAAAAGCATTTTTATCTCGATACAGGTGTTTATTTTGGTGCTCAGTTGTGTCATGGCATGCTACAGCCCTGCGTGTGAGGTGCAGGACTGTGTGTGCCCAACCTGCAGGTGGGGAGTGGCTCTTCCTGAATGGTTTTGAGGGTTGGTTTGGGATTTTTTTTTGCCTCATGCCCCACGCTGGAGGAAGAGAGGAGGACCTGGGCTTGCTTCTGTAGCTCTTCCCGAATGGTTTTGAGGGTTGGTTTGGGATTTTTTTTTGCCTTTCCTTTGCTTTGAACTACTCATTTGAGAATGCCCGAGACTTAATGAAGCACGTGGGAGCTTTCCCACTGCCTCCAGTGGGATTTGGATCTCGCTGTCAAAGCGTGGCAGCCAACGCTGAGATCAGGAGGAGACAGCGGTGACATTCGAGACAGATCTTTAAAGCATGCAGAGTTCCTGCTAACATCAGCGTTTCCTTCCTGTGTAACATACAGCAGTGAACATCGCTGTAACAAGTCTCTGCTCTGTGTGGAGCAGAAATCGAGGGACATCACAGGTTTCATGCAAGTATGGCCTTTATAAATAAAAAAAAGTCCATATGCCAAAAAAACAGCCTTGGAAAATTAACTGCTCCCCATGCTGTGCATAAAGATCAGTAGTCTATGCTTAGTGATGCTGATCCACCACATGTTATTCTGGAGTGAAGGGGCCCAGCAGTGTGGCGGGAGACTGCAGTGCCTGTTGAGGTTAATGAGGTGAAGGCCAGTCACTGCCCCTTGTGATGGCAAATGTGTGATCTAGGGATGCCTGGCTGTTAAGATCTGAAATGAGGTCGTTCAGACCCCTGGGATGTGGATCACCGGACGGCAATGAGACAGTAATGGTTCTCATGGGCTGAATCTGGGAGAGGAAAGGCTCTGTTGGTTCAGCTTTGTGCTTCCCAAGCAGTGGAAAAGATGTGCTGGGGTTATGCTTACAAAAGATTGCAGAAAATAGCTATTCCATCTCTGCTTCTCCTCAATCTGCCTCAAATTATTGCCCCTGCACTCTCTGGCATCCTTAAAGCCCCTAGTAAGAAAGACTGAATGTTACACTTTGTAGTGTGCTACAAGCATGGGATTTGCAGGTGTCACCAGTGTCGCCAGTCCCTGTCTGAGCAGGAAGGTGTTATGTGAAGTGCCCAGATGATTTGCAGAAAGGCTTTCTGCAGCTATGCCCATCCTTACCAAGGAAGGGAAGACACCTCCTTGGTTTGAAATTGGTTTAATCCTCCACACATGAAGAAGTTCCATCTATCAGGCTATTCCAAGCTGCTGGAACTGGTGCGTGACATCCCCTCTGAAGCTGTAAGCAAGTCTCTCGTGTCTCAGAGGAAAACAAAAATAGTGTTCACTGTTGCCAAAGAGCGTGTCACAAGAGAAAAATCCACTCCTGGCCCCTGCAGGGAAACTGCTGATGTCCTAGTTGGGAAAAAGGTCTGACAGCAGTCTCCCAAAGTTGCTCGCTTCTGTAAAATGGGGCAGAGCACTCAGTTTTGCCATGCCAGAATTGGCTGTTCGTGTCCCCGTACCGCCGTTTAGTGACCACTTCCTTTCTGCTCCTCTCAGTGAGTTAGGGAAGTCTACACAAGCGCTCAAAAAGGGTCAATAAGTTAAAAAGCCTTGTGTTGATTTTTTTTTTTTAATTTTTTTTTTTTTTTTTAAAACCAGTGGATGCTAGATGGCCACCTGACACCAGAGCACATGTACAGTGCCTGGACATCTGGCAGAGCTCTTACAAGGGAATCAATCGGATGGTCCCCACGGGGAGTTCAGAGAAGTTGTACATGCAGCTTTCTGTTTCACAGATAAGCCAGTTTAACTATAACACGTCATTTCTAGTTATCCGTCTAGAGCTCAAAACTGATTTCTGTGTTGCTGAAACCCCCTTCAAGTCTCGGTGTGCAAATGGAGGGCAGGTGAATGTCATGGTTAGAATTACAGATGAGGCCATTTGTTCAAAGTCTGGAAAGGGGCTGAGGCCTTTTCTAAGCTCAGACACATTGGAACTGTGTGCTTTCACTGGGGACCAGACCTGAAATACACAGCCAGATCATAACTATTCCAAAGTTTTGGAGACCTTTCAGATTTCTTCTGAACAACAGAAACGTTTAATGTATTCTGATGTATGCTTTAATAAAACATGTGCTGTACTCTGTGAAAATGGAGCTTCTGGCTTGAACATAGACATCATGTGAGTAATCTGTAACATCACCAATAACAAGACTATTTTAAATGAAACTGCCTTTTGCAAGACCGAGGCAGCCCTGTTTTGTCCAGCTGGATGATATATCCATCTCCTGAAGAATAATTGTCAGAAACCTTGCTCCCAGTTGTGAATGTTGCTCCAGTTTTTCTTCATCTAAAACAAAAAAGTGATACACTTTTTCTGGTTATTATTTTTCTTGACTATTTTTTTTGGTGTTTTTTTAAAAATACATCTTATGCAACAACCTCCCCAGAAAGAAGAAACCAACTGTGTCTTGTTAAAAAGGAGGGTGAAGGCTAGAAAGAAGTGGGTGGACAGTGCCATCCCACACCTCAGAGCCAGCTTCCTCAAGCTCCTGATCTGAACTTGTGTATGCGGGTCCTGTTGTGCACTTTCTCCTCTTTAAAGGATGTGCTCCTGAAAGAGCCAGGATAATACTTTTTCTTTAAAATCCACAGTGAGTGCAATTGTGGTTTTAGCTTTGGAAGTGACTTTCTGAATATATGTATTATAATTATTTTTTTTCACTCCAGAAGTGAATTTCTGAAGTCTACTGTAAGATCATTAATGCAAAACAAACTTCATGGTCTCCAAAGATTTTTTTGAAGAACATTTTCAGCTCAACTGAAGAGGATAGTTAACTTGAGCTCTGATACCCATAGCGGCTTGTGTGATCCAGTGTTGCTGCTGTGAATAGCAAATCTGGCATCTTACAGACCAGCCTCAAATTTTGACACTTTTTCAACAAGCTGGTTCTTCCAGAGAGTGGCTGGGAGTAATGAGAGTTAATATGAGGTGATATTAGATTTCAGAGAGAAGTGTTCCTTGCTGGATAAACACAGCTTGTAATCTTACAGAGATATATATTGGCCTATTTGGATGACAAGGTGGTTCCCAAGTGGGGGAAGCAGTTTGCTTAGCCAGAAATAATCTCATATTTCTTATGAGAAAATTTCTAATGGAAAAAATCTTGTCTTCAAACCAAAGTTTGTTGTTTGAGTGTCTTAGCATGGGTGCACAATGCATTCGTTTGGCTCCCCTTGTGCTTATGTTGAGTTTAGCTATTGAAAGGTTCTATGGTGGCACATCACCATGTACCACTAAACAACTGTTTGAGATCCCTCCTCAAGTTGCAGTATGAAAGGAGCCTTGTGATACCATTTCAGCCTGTCATCATAAACTGCCTCCCAGCAATACTTTTTGTCTGTGAGAGATCTAACCCTCAAAGTTCTTGAAACACAGGACCCTGCTGCTTGCTAAAGGTGATCATCCAGACTGGTGTGTTTTTAACACTGGAAGGTAATACAGGCTCATTTATAGCACATCTTGGTGTGGCATCTTCATGCATCATGGATGAGTTCATTGGCAGTAAGAACAACCTGTGCCGTCCTGCGCTGGAGCATAGGGCAGCGGTGTCGAAAATCACCATTCTTGATACAAAATACATCGGTCTGGCTTAAAAAACACAGCTTCTGCTCTTCCTCTGCTCTGGGTTATTCAGTATTCATGTTTTGGGGATTTTTATCTATCAATGGTACTTGTAAATGTTTCCTTTTAATAATAAAAGCTGTGGGTTTTGAGGTAATCACAGGACTCCTGAAGCTAGGCTCTGTGGTCAGAAATACTAAGGATTTGTTATGCTGCTGCTGTTAGTGGGTAAGTTGAAACTTAAACATGAGGACAGAGGTTGTTTTTTATTGTTGCATTTTATGTCATTCTTAACTATGACATTAAACTTGAGACAAGCCACTCGTAAGACCTGGGACAATTGAGGCAACTTTTTCCTTCCTCTTTTTTTTGGTGCCTGCAAGTGACTTACATGTGTTCTTCCAGTCTTTACAATTAATAGCCCAGCAAGAAAAGAAAATTTCCTCCTGTTTAACTTGTAGTCAGGTAAAGGGATCAGAATCGCTCGTTTCTCATGTGTTTTTTGGGTGGGATGGTTCCTGCAGTGCCAGCAGGGTGTAGGGGAGGGGGTTGCCCTCTCAGAGGGCTGTTCAGTGAGAAGCGATGGTGGAGGTGGCCAGCTGCTACCTGCATGGGGCTGCCCTTAATCCAGGTCAGCTTCACAGAGCTCTCCATCCCCCCTGCCTCCATCCTCATCAGCCTTGCTGCCTGGCCTTTGTGTGTTGGGATCTCGGCTGTGGCTGGCAGGCTGAGGGTGGAAGAAGGGTTGATCTTCCTGGGCTTTGATGTGTTAATTCCCCAGAGGAGCTGCTCGCTCCGCCTGAGGAGCGCTGCTGCTTCGCTGCTCCGCTTCCCACATCTCCCACTCTGCTGCCACGTTCGCCTTCGTCCTTGGTTAGACGAGGAAACCCGCCGTCGCTTAACCTCTCCGTCTCGGTTCAGAGGAGCCCTGACGGCAGCGAGTGCCTGTGGTGCTGGGGTTGCAGCTCTCCGCTTCGGCTGCCTGCCACAGTCACTCGTGTCCTTAAATGCATGAAGATAGTCATGACCAGCATGGAGTATAGCTGGGACATTCACGGACACTGCGTCTGGCTAAATAAGGTAAGGCTATCTGTGTTTGTTCTGGCTCTTGCATTTCTCCCAGTGACAAGCCATACATAGCTGGGCAATGCTCGTAGGGAATAAGAATTTTGTCTTTTTCTTGTATCAGATACCAGCTGAGCTGCTGTTGAAGAAACTGATGTTTTGAAACGGTTGTGTCTTCCTTGTTCAACACCTGTGTTAGTTATATTTAGAAAATGTTTCAGGTAAACTCCTCAGAGTGAAGATCTGTCTTCAGCTGGTTTTCTTTCAGAATTTACTTTTATTGTAGCAAAGCCTTTAACATACAACGTGGGGGTTTTTGAGTGGGTTTGTGGTTTTTTTTTTTTCCCCCCTGCTCATTCTGTAAGGAGGAACTAATCTGTAAACTTTAGGAAAAGCTTAGCAGCAGGTCCGCCTGCCTGCTGCGGGAGCATGTGGAGCCAACTGCAGATATTCAGAGCAATGAGTAGGGAGGCGTGAAATGCAGGAGATGCCAGTTTGGGAGGGCAGCGGTGGGCTCCCACACAAAGTGGTTAAACACTGGTACGGATTGTGTTCAGACAGATTCGAGCAGCATGAATTTGGGACAGAATCGATACTTACTGAGGGTAAAGCTGTCATGGGAAAACGGTGGCGAATACTTTACTTGGAAAACCTGGAGGCTTTGCCTGTGGCAGACCAAGTGATGTTGAGGTAGCTGAGGCTGGAGGAGCCCCCTTGCAAGGGACTCTCTAAAACCGAGTGAACAAGCAGAACAGCAGTAGCTGTGCTTAACTAAGCGTAGGTAATGTATATTATAATGATCTGAACAGCATAAGCCTGTTGATGAGCTCTAATTTAACTCCAGATGGTCAGGAAAGAGATGTCAGGGACAGCTCACTTGCCCAACTGTTGGCTGGACTGTGGTGGTCAAAACAGTCAGTGCAATCTGCCATACAAGAAAATAATGGTGTGGAGTGGCAGCTCCTTCTATAGCAGTCAAATTGGATCTACAGCAAGAACAGTGTGATTTGTGCTGCTTATTTTGTCTCAAAAGCAGAAGAGAAAATGAAGGGAAATGAGAGTATCAGCTGCAGTAGGCTAAAAATGAGTTCTATTTTTGAAAGGAGAATTCAGCAATTGAGAGGAAATGGATTTCTTAATTTTTTTTATTGTTAGGAAGTTTAAAACAGCAGCTATTAGAAACTTTCCTGCGGTTTGGAATGCTAACTCACTTCCAGGGAAAAGGGATTAAAGACTGAGGGCAGGCAAGCTGTGAAAGTTTGGTGATGCATCTACTTATTACAGGAATAATTCCCTCCAGAGCAGTGTGGATTTTTACACTTACATGATTGCAGACAAAGCTTACACACGTGTTTAACAGATTAGCCACGGATTGATCTTGAGGAGTTTTTAAGTGCACTGGGTCTGATCTTATAAGACATTTTAAGTAAATGCTTAACCTCAAACTTCTACGAAGCCTCAGTGAGATCGTGACAACTGTTCTTTTGTTTTTAGGATTAAGATCAGTATTGGTAAATCTGCATTCTCTTCACATACAGTGTTTTGCAATTAATCCCTAAATTGAAAACACATGCAAAGTCTAACCCTTAATTGAAGATAGATTTTAAGCTGCTGATGAAAAAGAGCCTTCTTTGGAAAATGGCAAGGCTTGTCTTACACAGCTAGCAAACCATGTTAATCCTGTATTGACTTTGACGATACAGATTTGATCCAGAACTACCAAGTGCCCCAAATATGCTTGCAGTTGCTGTTGAATCAAATATTTACTTTTCTTTCTTTCTTCTTTGGGTTTTGTTTGTTTTGGGTTTTTTTTACCTCCAAAGCAGAGTCATTGCTCTGCGTGGTGTGCAGTTGCCGGGCTCAGTCCCTCTGTCCTAGGGGAGGCTGCAGGTCCCTAGGTGGAGAGAAACTCCTCCTGAAGGACACACCAAGTGTTGCTCATCTAGGTTTTGCACACACCAAATCTTCTGGCACCTTTCAAACCGCCCTGCAACCTGTTCGTCCCCCGCTGGGGCTCCCTCCACCCCATCTCCTGATGCACTGCTTTCCCATATCCAGTGTTTGGGCATCTTCCTTCTCTATTTCTCTTCAGTCCTGCCTTCTGCCATCATTACCCTGTTCTTCTTTTCATGTGTTTAATCTCCTGTCTTCCTTCCTCATCTCTCTGGGAAGAAAATCATGCCAGGTATCAACTTTTTACCTTTGAAAACATTGCAGAGGAGAGATGCAGGAAGGCATCGTGTGGCCATTGCCTGCAGGCCCCTCATCTCTGCACCACCATAGGAGGTGCTGGGGCTGCTGCCCGGTGAAATAGCTGCCATGGCCTTTCTGTGTTGTCCTTTCTCTAACTCTCATCTTTTTCCCCCACTGAAACCAAAGTCTTTGGCAATTGTCTTGCCTTTTCATACCTAAAATGAAGAGTTAGCCCCAGGTATGTATGCAGAAGTTACAACACTTCAGGGAAAAAGCAAACTGCTGTTGGGTTGTACACAAAGATTTCTAGTTTTCATGGACTACTGGAGGTCTGGTTTTATGCAAATTTTACAAAATATTTCTGGGAACAGCCAACAAAGGCATCTTTGTATTTAGTTTTGTGGGAGAGCAACCCTTACTCCAGTCCTGTTTGGGGTTCCCATCACCTCCTTCCTCTTTTCTTATGGCGATGTGCAGCTGTGTCCTGAACTATCTCTAAACGCTCCTATTTTTAAGCCAGGTATGATGTGCTGAGCAAAACAGGATTTTTTTAAGAAGTGTGAACAGAATTAACAACAAAGGTGTCTTGGCAAGATGCTGTGCACAATGACTAACGTTCTGCTTTAACACCTCGTCGGTTTTCACAGCATCGTAAAGACATGTTCATTGTAGTGTGAAACCAATACTTATCTCAACATATTTTCTTCACGCCGTCTTTGGTTTTAGTTAATTTGTGTCTGGTTATGCTGAGTAGAGGTATCAGGAAGTTCAGTGGTTACAGTGCTGATGTGGTGGTTGAGAGGTAGGGAGTCTGTGCTTTGACAAGGACTTTCATGTGAGTCCTGGCAGGATGGAGGGACATCTTTGCACCTTGGCTGCCTGCTTGTAATGAGGGATGAATATCAGTTTCCCACATCAGAATCACACACTGGATTGATAAGTGTGTTGTATGTTACAAAATGCAGACACTGTATTTGTGGAGGCCGAGTAAGTGCCTGAGATGTGTTGGAGGTCTTTAAATGAGAAGGAAGCTACAGAATAGCAAAAATATGCAAAAACCTTGGTTTTGTATTTCACATACAGGTCAAGTTACAAAATTTAAAGCATAATCTGCTAGTTGAGCAGCTAACAAGTTTATTTTGGAAGCTCTTTGACTTCTTTCCTCTAAATTAAAACTGTTACAAAACTGAAGACCTCACTGATCTTGAATGGAAATCCTATGGCATGAGCTAAATTCTGGTAGAGGACAGGGGGAAAACAGACCAAACTCAGAAGTTTAGAGTACTTCTGCCTTAGCGCTTAGTTTCTCGATGGTCAGAAGGTCTAGTAATTTGCTGCTAAATAATTCGGATACAGTGTGTCATTATGGTGTGAGATACTGGTAGAAATTACTAGGGAGCATCCTTTCTTAGTCTGCTGTAGCTCTAGTGATTTCAGTGAAGATGTTATGGTCATAATGTAAAGGTTACACATGTATACTTGGAAGACACATTTGCAACTGCACACTGATTTACAAGCTGCCAGGACACAGCCTGATTTCTTGAGGAGAGCGCTAAGGGGAGGTCAAATACTTTGTACCCCCTTCTGTTTGCTCTGCATCTGATCTTCAAGTGGTGCTCGTGGGCATTTTACTCCTCTGGTTTCAAACAAGGCAGTTTCTCCCTTCTCCCAAAGTCAGGCATGTAATTTAGCAAAGGAGTTTTAGCTGGCAGGTTTCCTGAGGCATCCTCTGCAATCGGGGGAGACAGGCTGTTTGAAAGGGAGATCCAAACCAGGAGCCTGAGGCTTGCAGCTCCTGCGTGGGGGTGGCCTCTCATGTTGTGGGGGGACTCACAGGGGCACGAGGATCCGTCGCCCGGTTTCTTTTCATCAAATATTCAGAGGGAAATCAAGGCCCCTTGGAGTTGGTGGGAGCCTCTGCAGTGAGCGTGCTGGATTTCAGAGTAGCTTCTCAGACGTTTCTAAGTGATTTATGCAATGATGGGAACAAGAATTTCTTTGAGCTGAGATCTGATTGTGGCATCCATCGCAAAGTGCTTTGAGACAGCTTTGAATATGGATAGAGTAAAATCCTTCTCGCTGCTCAAGAGCATTGAACTTATTACGAAGAAAGAAAGTTGCTGATTCCTCTGAACTCTCTGATAGCATTAACATGTATTCTTGTTTCTCTTTAGCCTCAGGCAGCTTTACAGAGAGATGCGTTTAGAGTGCAGACGTTCACCCATACCCAGTAAAATGTGCCTAATGTAAAAGGATGTCTCTTACTATGTCTTTTAGAAAAAATTGTTTGACTTGCAAGAAGCCTAATGCACATTTTGTAGATTGTACGTTGATTTTTTTTCACTTGCTGAATGTCTTGGGTTATTTGTCTCTTTGCAAGTATGGCTTAGCATAGTACATCATTGAGCACAAATTTTGTTAACAAAATGCTGAATGCACAGTAAGGGAATTTTGCAGAATTGGGTCACCAAAAGGTTCTTCCTTTCTCATCTTTAAGCCTCTGAACAATTCTTGTCCTGAATGGTGGTCGTGTATCCTTTGTTGACAGTTTATTTGATTTGTAACCCTTTGGGGGCTGAGGAATACTTTAAATCTGTTCTTGAACTGTGCAGACTGAAAATACTCCTTAAGTGTGTTGATAACATTGAATAATGATTATGGTACAATAGCTGACAACACAATATTTGCTGTCTTTTTCAGACTAATGGACATATATCTGGGAATGGAGATGTGTATCAAGAAAGGCTGGCTCGTCTGGAAAATGATAAGGAATCTCTTGTTCTGCAAGTGAGTAGTCACCTACATTGTTTTTTTTTCTGCTCTTGCATTCATAAGACTTTTTAATAGTATGTGATAAAACCTCTGAGGATTTATTTGTAGTTGTGTCATCTTGGACAGTGTTCAGAAGGCTTGCTGGTATCTGAGACGTAACACAGATTAAGGATAGGTGTGAATTTAGATTGCAGGAAAAATCTAAAGGGCTTTTTTTTCTGTGTCTGATCTCTTTTTGAATCTTGTTAGGTGAGCAGGTCTGCAGAGCGACCACCATCTTACATACATGTGTATCCTTAAGATCACCATTTTTCCATGACCGTTCACATGCTGTTTGCATCAGGTGACAGTTGTCTTGCAGCTTTTGTCACCTTTCATGAGGACAGGACTAGCCAACAAGCAGGAGGAGACGAGCAGCTCCTCTGAGGTCCTGCTTACCTGCTGCTGGGCTGGACAGGGTCAGTCCTGAGTGCTCCTGCCAGCTGGCTTACTCTTGCCCATCAGATTTGGGACTACCTGGCACCCCTTGGTCTGCGCAGGCGTCCTGCAGTCCCCTGACATGGACCTGGCCTAAGGCCTGTGACAATGCTGAGCTCTGCTCTGGGCAGCTTGTCCCCACTCCCAGCAGTACTGCAGATTTCCTCGAAAGGAGGCTGTTTAAAACAAAAACTTAATTCAGAAAAGGCAAAATGGGAATCAGTTTGCAGTCTCAAAGGTGTTCTCTTTTATGCTATGGTACACTGTGTGCAATCACTTGGAAAGCAGAATAAATTGTATGCAGTGAGGTTTAGCTATTTGGTTGTTAAAGTAGGAGTTAGTGGGGTTTAGTTAATGTATTGTCACAGGGAAGGCTTAATTATTACCTGTAAAGTGCAGCAGCCACCTCTTGTGAAAACTTCCAGGACGAGTCAGGAGGGAAGATTCAGGATCGCATTGTGTCCGCCAGAACTTCGGCTGAAATTCCAGTAAGCGTGAGGGGAGAGCTTTCACTCCTCTCTTGTCGCCTTTGCCACATGTTGTGTCCGCTGCAGAGCTGTGCTGCTGCTCCTCCTCCTCCCGTGGTCCCGTTTCATCTGTCACCCAGCCAGCACTGTTACTCACATACAGCTCTTCTGGTGACACATATGCCATGGGTGCAAGGTACTAAATATGCATGGCTTTTTCTCCACTGTGCAGGTAAGCGTGCTTACAGACCAGGTGGAAGCCCAAGGAGAAAAGATTCGGGATCTGGAGTTCTGTCTAGAGGAGCACAGGGAGAAGCTGAATGCCACGGAAGAGATGCTGCAGCAGGTATTTCACAGGCGCATGTCTGTCTCACTGTCTGTCTTCATTGTCTTAAACGGCATTTTGCTTCGGTGAGAGCAGTGCACTTCAAGGTGTTGCACCTCTTGATGTCTCTTAACTAAGTGATAATTTTCTACCATATTTGCTTTAAAGTCTTTGTACTTGGTGATGTCAGTTCTGCTTTACACTGTAGGAATCCAGTCCTGCTCTTCTTTGAGCCTTTCCCCACTGAACTTCAAAGAGACTTGGATTAAAGCCTCTGGCAGGATGGGTGGGTTCCCCTTAAAGCTCCTTGCTGCCCAGAGCAACTGTGATGACAGACAAGCTTTTTTTCTCATCCAGGCAGCCAACCCGTGATAGTGCCCCTGTGATCTCAGATGCATCCTAGGTGCCTGGAGTCTGTCAGATGGGTGATAACTGTGCCAGAGGGCTTCAGAGAGTGCAAGGAAGAGTGTGATGCTTTTCCCCATGAAAGAGGCCTTTAGCTGTAGAAATAAATGACTGATTTCTTCCCCTTGGATGAATAATTCTGTTCTCTTCCTCTTTATCTTGAATCAGGAGCTTTTAAGTAGAACATCCCTTGAAACTCAGAAGCTGGATCTTATGGCAGAGGTTTCCACTCTGAAGCTAAAGCTTACATCTGTAGAGAAGGATAGATTGGACTATGAGGACAGATTCAGAGACACAGAGGTGAGTAAAACCCAATTGAATTTGTGAAAGCTGTGTGTGGCTTCATGTTACCTGAAAATTTCCTGGGATTTTTTTTATTTTTTTTATTTTTCCCAGGCAAGAGGGGAATTGATCTTTAAGGTTAAAACATGTATCCCTTAAAATAAGAAGTGTCCTCTTTGGTGAACTCTGGTTTTACACAGAAAGATTTCTAAAACCAGGTTTTGATTCTTGCCATCAGATCTCTGGAAGGATGTCATTTAGGATGGATTTTAAATAAAATTATGAACATACTGCACTCTCCTGTCCCAATTTGAAACTGTCATCATCTTAGTGAGGCAAACGTTTAAGCCCACTGCAAGTACAAAAAGCATGCATGTGCAAAGACGTGGCACACCAAAAGACATAACTTTTTTGGTTTCAGTAACGGAGAGAATGAGGTGACTCAGTGTGAGGGCATTTTGAAGCCTAACTTCAAACCCCAGCCCCACAGAAGCCCAGGAGCGAGAGGCCAGCGGTTACTCATCTCAGCCTGGCTTCAGCCCCGCGGTGTACAGTGCTGAGCAGAGCTGCAGCCCGGAGCTGCCATTCCTGGCAGCTTTTGCCCTCTGTGTAGCTGAACCTTGTTCGTGTTTGAAGCCAGAAAGCCTCAAAGCAGGTGGGCAAGCCCGCTTTTTCTGGGAAACTCCAAGAATCAGGCCGAGCTTCGCTGCCAGGGTGATACGCCCCATATCAGAAATACCTTGGAGTCTGCCTAGGAAGCAGAACAAAATTTCCAGTTCTGGGTTCATCAGTGAGCTAAAATGTTGGATGTTTGTGTTGTGGATCTTCCAGTTATCATTCATTTCTAGAAGGGAAGAAACCATAATTTTATCACAGGAGACTTAAATTTGCCCTTTCCACTTCAATCACTGGTTTCAATCAACTCCCTTCCAGTTTCCTACCTATTGTCCAGTGAAGTGTCATTCCTCACTTGTATTGCAAGCGTAAGAGCAAAAGTTAGGCTTGCTTTTGAATTAATTTCTTTGGGCCCGTCTGAAGTAATATGCAGACCCAAAGAAATCCACAGGTTGAAAACTAGTGACTCAAATCATGTTCAGCTTTGAAAGGTGGTGATCATTTATGTAGTGATGATGGTATCTGTTCCTGCAGTGTAGCACACCTGGGTGCTGCCAAGCTGTGGATCGGATTCATGTTGCCGCTCGTTACCTTTTCCACTAGATTGGTACCAGATGTTAAGTGAAGGATCACAGCATTGGCTTGAAAGGGGCTGGTTTTGCAGTCCAGGCAATGCTGGAGAAACTGGCAGATGGGAAGGTGGAAGGAATCGTTGAAGGTCTTCTGCATCCATAGGAGATGTGTTAAGAGCTGGCTGCTTTCTCAGCTCCTGTGAGGTCTCTCTGCCCACACAGTGCTCAGCTCTTTCGTGAATTTCACAACAGATAACTCTTCACCTGTATACTGACAGCTATCATAAGCAGCCCGAACAATAGATAAATGAATTGACAGCAGCAGCAAATGGCTTTGGGGCGGCAAGGTTTGGTCCAAATGACTGCAGTGAGCGGGTGCTTTCAGAACTGGCTTCCACTGCATCTCCATTTGTAAACACCCCGTGGCTTCATGTGCTTTCCAAAAGCAGGTAACAAAAGTGATTGGGCTTTGGGGGACTTGCTTCCTCTCTTTCTATTCTTATTTTTATTTAAGATGATTTTTTGCTGAGCTTTCCTGTACTTCCCCTTCTTTCATTTCCCTCCTGGAGCCCAGTCTCTCCATAACTTAATAGCACAATTCAGACAGCAGACTGAGAAGGTGTATGTGGAGCTACCTCTGTTCCCAGAAAAGTGGTTGGTGTGAGGACCACAACGTGTGCTGCGACTCTGTAGGCTCGGTACAAGAGGCCTACCTGCATGGCAGCTATGAAGACCTTTCCTTTTGAAATACCTTGAAATACGCTTAATGTCTTTAAAAATAAGATAATCTAAATTATGTTTAAAAAGTAAGTACTGTAATTAGGAGCTATATATATTTATTTTCTGGATTTTTGTGCTAGAACTAATGAACTATTACAAAAATGTTCCTCCCTTCCTTTGAAAACCAGAATGATGTAGTTTAGTGGGATAGAAATTATTACGTTGTTTCTTCTTTGCTTCAACGCTTTATGGCTGTAAAAAGGCTTAGGCTTAGACACTGAAAGGGAGAGCATGTCTCAATTTCCATTTTGTTCAGTGGAAATGAATGACTACTTGTAACGGTCTCAGCCATGCAAAATCTCTGACAGGTAGTTTGGAGGCAGGACTTATTTGGAAGTACACAATATTTTATTCAGTGTTGATCTAACTATATTCCTGTTTAAATTAATAGATGATCAATTATTCCAGCAGAGATGAGTATTTAAATGGATATTTAAAATACTCTACTATAAAATGTATTATGGCATTTACATGCAGTGTTCAAAATGGAAAAAATTTCATACCCAAACTGGGAAAGAAAAACTATGAATATTGCTTCTGTTTTTATTTAGGGAAAAGAAAGTAAAAATAAAAAAACCAACTGACATCTTAAAACAACTTTTGTGGAGCTACTGTCTCCTACAGAATTACCATTTAGATTAAATCCTTCATATTATCCAGTTTTGACTTATATCTGCCATTACAACTTCCCGTTCCAGCTTGGTAGGTTTCTCATATTCACCATTCTTTCTCTAAATAGATGCTTCACTAGGTGTGTAAGCTTTTATTTTTCCTTTGTGCTCTAGGACTTTCCTGTCTAGATGTTCACAAATACACAGCTCTTTCAAAGCTAATTGTATACTTAATAGAGATTTGTTCTGTTCTTTAAATCATTCCAGTCTTTCCGCTTTCTCAGCAGATACCGGTATTATTTTCCTTTAGGAGCACGGGTGGTCTGAGTTGGGCTGAGTTTATGTAAGAAAATATCGTACGAGGGAGTTTATTTAGGGAGGAGTCCATAACTAGACATGGTCTTTGAAGCAGCAGCCAGAGGTTAAACTGGCTCACTCATGGGGAATTCCTCATAATTTAAACACCACCAGTCTCCTTTGTGCAGATGAATTCTGAGTGGAGCAAAACTACAAATGTAGTTTGTGTTTCCACTGCCAGTAAGGAAGCTTCTGAAGCTTGAAGTTGTCATTGCTTTTTTGTGCCTCCCTGCTTCTGCCATGAGGAGCGCAAGTAACACAACCGGGGAAGGAAAAGGCTTTGGGAAATAGGAGTCTATATGTCCCACCCCATCAGCTCCAGTCATGGACCCATGCAAGGAACAGCTGTTGGGCGTTTGCATGGAGGGACCTGACCCAGGATCAGAAGAGGACCATTTAATGGCCCTTTCCTGTTTTGCAGGTTTTGTAAGACAGGAGCACGCATTGTGCCCAGGGCAGGTATTTGAACACATTTATGGGTGCCCAAAGAGGAGGTATTAAATGCGAGCAGAGCAGGTGCCATACATACACTGGCCACCATGTGGGTGACTGTTTTACTGTTGGTTCATCCAAGTCAGCTAGGGAACTCGGTGGCTTTTTGGTCTGATCTCAGATCCTGATGAGCCTGTACAACACCCTGAGTGCCATGGGGACATACACAGCTCAAGCATCACACTGGTCCCGAAAGCCCTTCAGGTCATAAGCAGTTACAACGGTTGGCACCTTCAGGTTTCCAACAATGCTGTGATCTCCTTGCTGGGGCTGCTGCAGGAGCGAGCAAGGCACAGTCCTTGCTGTGAAAGGTTTTTAGTCAAAATCAGTTGAACAGAGAGTAGTGGAAGTAAAAGCAAGCAGGAAAGTGAAATACACTGGGAGGTTTAGGATTTCTCAAGGAACTTCAGTGCCTTTGACAATCTCTACCTCCGGTAGCTTGCCCAAAGTTAAGTAGTAATTCAATAGCAGGGGAGGCAGCCCTGTTTGGGCCTTTTCTTTTTCCTCTGTTCATTTATGCAAGGCTTGAGCATCTCTTTTGTACTAATGAGGGTCTGTATATGGAACCTGGTGAATCTTCAATGTACTCCTCTGCCTCAAAAATGAGAATGAATGTCATTTACAGTTATTGCGTTGTAGATAACTCAAAATGTGAGTTAATGTTGCACTTCCAAGAGAGTAACTGAAAATATTTTTAGGGTAAAGCATGCTGTTAGGACTTGTATTTAGTTCTATTTAACCCTTGAGCAAATTGTACAGTATTTTTGGTGACCAGTTAGCAGTGGTAAAGGGTCCAATTACCCATGAGGCCCATAACAAGTTAAGCAGAAGAATTTCATTTCTGCTCCAAGATCTTACACTCTTGGATCCTGGTTGCAAGATTGCTCTGTTTTCCATGACATTGTGAGTGCATCTTGACATTTCTGTTAATCTATATGGGTTGCACTAACTTTTTTCATCAAAGATGTGTAGTTGTGGTTTATCCCTTTTGCTCAGAGGGGCCTTTTGAATAGAGGTAACTGGTTTCCCTCTCTTCCTCCAGTATTTTAGAAGTAACATAGTTCAAGTGATAAATATGTAGGCAACAACCTTAACAGTTATTACAACACATCGTATTTTGACATTGGACCATGCCAAAGCAAAAATGATGGCTACAGGAGAGAAAAGCCCCGAACAAATCAATTGTCATAGTGTCAAAGCTGACCATCAGACCTGGGAACATAGATTTGTTAGACATCTAGAACACTTGGTGTTGATAAGAAACAGCTCAATTAATATAGTTGTGCAGATTGACATCGCTGTACATTTATACTTAGAAGAGGGACATGCTTTGTAAATGTTACACATTGAAAGAATGAGTGAGGAATTGCAGGTGTATCCCAATCCAAAAGCCATACATTAGTGGTAGTAATTACTAATAGCATCAAAATGTTCTGTATTTTGATTTTCCTTGTAGTTCTGATTATAGAGCTTGGATCTTCCTAAAGAAATACAGATGCTGCTCCATTGCCATCAGATTCATTAAGCACAAAATAATAACCAGAGCCTTGTAAGCTTCGAAAATGTGGCATTGGGCTGGAAGGCAGGTGTTACCAGGGACCCGTGAATACCCTCTAAATGTCGGCTGCTGGCTTGTTAATTTATAAATTATGTATCTCTACTAATTATACACTTAGCTCTGAAAAAATGCGTTTACAGTTGTACAATGTTGCTTGATGTGGATAGGATTTGCCTTACCATGTAGGCAGACACACTAGCCAAAGTACCATACTATCTTCTTGGTAGCTTAAAAGCTGTTATACTGCCATTCAAGTTCTCTTATGTTTTCTACGGTGCACAAAGAACTTATCTTCTCTTTTGAAGAGTTTCCTGGTGATACAGCATTATAGTAGCTGCTGATAAACTGTTTTTTTTCTTTTATTCTGGTTTTTTTTTTTTCTTTTTTCACACAAATGTAACACTGATCTGGTGTGTCCATACACAAACTAAAAGTCAGTAAGAATATACATGAGGCAGCAGCTTGCTGGACATCTTTGAGTTATGCAAAAGCCACAGCCTTCTGGTAGTGTATTCCCCTGCTGAGCAGGAAGATCATTTCCCCAATAAGCTGTGGTTCGTTATCTCTTATATGGAGGGACACTCTGTGCTGGCTGTCCCCCAGGCTTCCTGCAGGTCTGCAGCTGGCCACATGAGATCCCATTTCCCCATCTAGAGGACAGGGAGATTTGGAGAAAGAGTGCCTTTTGCACCTTGGTGGGGCAGTAAAATTCAGGGTTCGTTTGACTGCTGCAGGAAGGGAGCTGTAATGCTGGTGGTGCTCAGGGCTGACCTCCACACCTAGTAAGTCTCTCCAGGAGGATGGCCAGGAGGTTGAGCCATTCTCCTGAATTGCTCAGATGTGAGCTGGTGGTGGCTCTGAGTTTCTTCCAAGCCAGGCTGAATTTGCAAAGCTCAGGTGTAGTGGCACTATTGATGCTTAAACACATATGCCCTCAGTTAGAGGGGCTCATTTGAGAGGCACAAATCTGGATTTATGCCATAATCACTTCATATTTTGAAAAGGCAGCTGATGGCTGGTGAGTCCGGGGTGGGAAGGACTGGCAAGGAGAAGATGTGGATTCTGTATATTGAAGGATGGCTGCCATGGTTTTCCATTACCCGCTTGTAGTGGTGAACATCCGAGCAGCTGAGCAGCCAGAGGGGCAGGAGGCCTTTCTTGGCCCTCAGCACAGGAATACAACGTCAATTTATGTCTCCCTTTGCCCTCTGCCCTCTTGCATTCAGTGCAGTAATGCAGAAACTGAGAAATACAGTTCCTGGCTATCTAGGAAGCTCTGAATTGCTTGACTTGGCTATGAATTTGGGTGATGCGTTTTTGTGTACAGTGCACCTTTTATTGCTGCTGTGGTTTTATACCTACCAATGGTAGCTATTGTTCTGTTTTGTTTACTGAATTTCTTTGTTGTTTCTGGTCTTGTTTTCCCCCTCACTCAGGATTTGATCCAGGAGATCAATGAATTGCGGCTGAGAGTGGGAGAAATGGACAATGAAAGACTCCAGTATGAGAAAAAACTGAAAACGACCAAAGTAAGTGAAGCTGAGGGGAAGAGGCAGAGAAGGGTGTAAGTCAGGCTTTAGAAGTTCGGTCTCTTTCCCCCAGTCCTTGCCTGCACCCCGTAAAATCCTGAGCACACTCAGGCCCAGGGATTTCATGGTACTCACTTAGCATCAGGGGTTATTTCCAAATTTCGTGCTGTGATTTTCAGATCTAGGCATTGTTTTTTTTATGAAGGATAACTTACCCTGCAGCTGGTTGTTCGCAGTAAATTTATTACCTGCTTAGACCCTTGTTTCACATACGTGTCAAGAAACACCAGTTGCAGTACATAAGGTGTGTGCCACAGGTGAGACCAAAGCTGAGCATATATTTTTTCCTAAATGTGCTAAAAATTACCCGCTTCTGAAGAGAAAGCATTCACCTAAGTAATTCTAGCAGCCTGTTTCTGCAAGTGTCTAACTTCTCTTTGCTATTTAGCCTTGTCTCTTTTCTATCTTCAGTTTTCTCTCACTCCTCTGTCTCTGTTACCAGTCTTTAATGGCCAAACTTTCTAGTATGAAAATCAAAGTGGGTCAGATGCAGTATGAAAAGCAGCGGATGGAGCAAAAAAGCCAGATGCTAAAGGTGTAGTAGTTTCTGGGTAACATTGGGCCTGTTTTGAATCCTTTGTGTTCCACCATTTTACGGTCTGTCTTGCCTTGTGCTGTCATGCTCTGTTCTTCATTAATTGCTGTGTGTTGATATGCAGTGTGCCCGTTCCCATTAGATGTGGAAAGCTCTTTATGTAGCTATTCCTTGTAAACAGCTTTTATATCAGATGGGAGAGGATTTTAGTGTTGTGAACTTTGCATAGGTTACACATAATGGAATTAGACTTGAGTTAAAATCATTCCCCTTCCAGGGGAAGATTGCCTGTTCTGTAGCTTATGTCCGTTATTCAAATGTAACTTTTTCTCACCTTTTAAGAGAAAATTTATTCATGAAAACTAGCTAGAAGCTAGAAAATAGTGATTCTTTTATACTGTCCCCTCTCCCACATGTAAATTTACATATCGTGTTTCTAATTCAGGGGAAGAAATACACAACAACCACATGCAGCTCTAGTTGCCCATGGGTATAACAGCAGCTTCTTAAGTGACCAAGAGATGGTCTTGTTTTGGAGAAGCATGGGTCCTACGCTGGCAGAAATCCCATCAAAATCAGTACCAAGTTGGAGCACTGGAGGATTGTATTGCCCAACCACTGTTCTGGAAGAAGCTTTGATTTCTTGACAATTTTAAGATTGATCTATTTTTTTTAATGATGCTTCAGAGCAAACAGGAACCAATTTTGGGAAATTCTGTAGTCTGGGCCATAGCTGCGGTCACAGACATCACTGTATATTTGCAACAGATCTTTTGAGTGAAGCTCAGGAACATACCTAAGCCACAGTATTCTAATTTGGTTTATTCCTTTAAGGATTTAAAAATTCAGTAAATGCCAACCTTATGAGTCTTGCTTTGTTTTGTTTTGTTTACAAACTGAACAAATTAAATTTTCAGTGTTGGGTACATTTGCACTGAGGGTCCAGTCTTGATGATGCTGTTGCACAAGATATCCTCGGACATCAAAGAAACATGTTACTAAACTGGGTAGGATTTGACTCAAATTTTAAAAAGCTAAATGCATGGATCCGTGCCAGTCACTTGCTAGTGCAGATGGTTAGATCTAAGTTAAAATTTGACAGCATTTATCTAATACACCCCAACTCCCCCAAACACCATCTGTCTTATTCCCATGAATTTCAACTCTAAACTTCCTTTCCTAACTCTTGATCAGGAAACCCAAACTGTGGCAGAAGTACCACATTTTTGTCTGAACTGCTTTCCAGTATGTGTTTATGTGCTTGATGGTGTCATGATTGATTTTTCTTTCATAGAAGCAGTGGTTATTTCTGAAACTGTCCTCAGCCTGCTGTAAGCACAGTTCCATAATTGTCCAGCTTTGAACATGCAAAGTGCCCCATAAATACCAAAATAAGTGTTTGTAAATTTTAGCATTCAGCCTCATCACCTGCACTTTTTCTGCCTCTGCAAGGTTAAATAAGTAGAAATCTGCTTTCTTCTGCTTTACGCTTTCTTTTGCTTTACTCTTTCTTTTTTAACTTTAGATTTAAAATGTTTTTTCCATTATGCATGAGACCGACACTTTCGGATCATAGGCCCCCTGGTTTTGCCCCCTTACGGTCTCAGCGATCTATTGTGATGGTCAGAGGCAGTTTGGTGGGTGTGCCCTCAGCCAGTGTAAATGTCAGGGGGCCCTCCGTCATTTCCACCAGCTGAGGGCCTGACCACTGCGCTTCATAGGAGTGAATTTTGGAAAAGTCTCAGATGCAGGTGGAAGCTGTCACTGAGTGATTTTGTGTCTGTTACAGGATGAACTTGCATCTTTGAAAGACAAACTGGAGCAGAAGGAAGCTGAGGTTAAAAGACTGCAGGAAAAATTGGTTTGCAAGCTGAAAGGAGAAGGAATTGAAATATTGGACAGAGGTAAGAAGAGAGGCTCTCTCACCATATCCTCCTCAGACATCTCAACTGAGGTCATGTTTCCATGAATGATTGTGCAGGAAAGAACAGATAAAAGCCTCAATTTTCACATACTTTCTGTCTTTATGTTTACTTCTTTTAACATATTTAGGTAAGTATTCACAACGCAACTGCCATAGCAGGTTCCTAATCAACTTTAAACTAGCCTAAGTAATCCCTAGTTAGCTCTTTACATGGCTTGCATTGTGCCTCAAAAGATGCTGTTTATAGTGGCAAAGAAATCCTTAAACAAATTTCAACAAGTTCCCCATAAAGGTTATATTGAGAAGGGAACTTTCTGTGTGGGTACCTGTGCTGGGCTTTGCTTTTACACCCCTTACTGGTAAGGAAGGGGAAAAGCCATACTGGAAACCGAAGTATGATGTGTACTAACAATTATTCAGTGTGGACCCAGCTGTAAGTAGGTGAAATTGAGGACTGGTTCTGTATTTGTGCACTGCATAAGTCTAAATCCTAATTAAGCTCGAATTAGTACAGAAATTTTACATGGCAGATAATTCTTTTATTTGCTTGCAGAGAAGAAACAAATTCAGTATTTATTTGGGGAAAATTTAGATTGGGGAACTTATTTAAAATCAGAAATTTTTCTTTAAAGCCTCACAAAAATTTTCCACAGAGTTTTTTGACCAGCTGCAATTTCAATTCTGAATGTATCTCACTGATAGTTATTGCTGATTTTAAGACTATGCTTTTAAAGTATATTTTTTAGAAAAATTAAGCTGAGAGAGATTAGTTTCCTCTCCTGACCTAAGGAGGAAAATGCTGTGTGCAGATTGTCACATTTTGTTTAATAAAATTATCTGTTTTCCAAACCACTGCATAAGATCACTAAAAAGTGACCACTTACGCATATGTTATCACTTAGCTGGCTTTCAACAGTAAAGCGTTAGCTTAAGAGTAATCTGTTGGCATAAGCCTTTTCTGAGGCCTTACAAGTGAAAATGTACAGTTGAAAAATATATCCTTGAGACAGGTAGTTGTGTATGAGAGCAGTGAGACTATTTTGTGTCATTAGGAACGTTACAGGGGAAGTGCAAGTTGAAACCGTGAATGGCTTGCTTCTGTAATAATAGATGAGGAATAGTTGACTCCTTAAGTATCAATATTGTCTTAAAAGTTATTTAATGTCGTAACCTTCATCCTAATTTCAAATCCAATGGATTTTCCTGCACAGATGAAAATTGTAAAAAGAAGCTCAAAGATAAAAGTAAGGTTTCTGATGTCTTTCCACCAGCATTTGCATTTCAGAAGTGCTTTTCAGAATAGCTTTCTGCATGTGTTTGCAAAACTGCTTTAACAACGATTGTTAGGTTGCATCACCTATAACCCTTAGTTACACTTTGAGAATAAGGGTGGATATATCACACTTGAAATACAAAGTTTTCTGAAAAAAGGCTGATGGGCAAAGACAGACTTGGTCTCACAGAGACTCACAAAACAGTTGCCTCTCAATGAAATGCAGTTCCAGTAATGTGTTCCAAATGCACAATCCAGTAAACCAAATTTTCTGTTAGCATAACTGAGTGTAAATCATTGGAACTGGATCAGTTGTAGTTTTGGCCCAAAGTGTCTCAATGTCTTTTATCTAGAAAGCCAGCCAGGCAGCTTGTTTTCTTCTTGCATTTCATTAAGGAGGAAAATGTTCTTCCCACTCTGTTTGTTTTCTGAGAAATTTTAGGAAGTTAAAACCAGGTAAAATGCTTTTGTGCCTGTGAATTTGGCCACCTGCATGAGTTTGTAACATAATATAAAGTTTACTTCATTTATGCAAGGCAGATTTTTAGCAAAAATGGAGATTATTTCCATTCTTTTTGAATTTCCAGTCCAGAACACCTCCAAAATTTAACCTTGTTAGAACTTACATGTTTCTGTGTATTTATACTTCTTTGTAAATGAGGGTTATAGATGCAGCACAGAACACTGATGTCTGTATTAGAGACCTTTTCCAAGTCAAAACTACAATATATATTCTAGCATGACTGCTCATCACAGCAAATACTTGTTTCATTCCATTGTGCTGTCCTCATTTCTACATCCATACTGAATTAAGACTAAGCATCACTGCACAGTGCTTTCTTCATCATATCCACATTAATCCTATTGCTTTGTATAGTGGGTTTTCGAGATGCCGTTTGGGGTGTTTGTTGACTATTGTAATGAGGATGTGCTTTATTAAGTTCAAATGACTTTTTGTTTTGCAATTATGTGATTATTTGAAAGAGGGAGGTAGTGAAAGTCAAGCAGTAGTTTTAGTCTTGACTTTTCCATTTTTGTAAGGCTGGGGAGGTGGGTAAGGAAATTTTCTGAATTTCATTGTTTCCTTGATATAAAATGTCAGAAAAAAAAAGGTTCTGGAGAAAAAGGATTCTCTTCTATATATTTCTATCTAAAATAGAAGTTAAGTGGCTTGTGTTTTGTCTTTTAATTTGTAAATTTACTTTCAGATATTACTGAGTTGCTTCTAGGGTTTTTTTTGTTTTTCTTATTTCCTTGCACTGTCTTATTTAAATTGACTTAGAGAACTGTATTGTGTTTTTAGATATAGAGGTACAGAAAATGAAGAAGGCGGTAGAATCTCTAATGGCAGCAAATGAAGAGAAGGTAGCGAAGTCATTATTTTTTTCAGTAATCATTCATCAGATTGAGTTAAATCTTTACAAAAATCTTCACACATGAACTTGTCACAATTCACTTAAAAAGTCAAATTTGTAAGAATCAATAATTCACTATATTCAGAAGCACTGCCATGCCTTTAAGGGTCTATAACTGAGCATTTATGAGCTCTATCGCATGTACACAGAGTCCTTATGCTGTTGTGTCATTCAGTTCAGTGTGAATGCAATTTACACTGTGTACTGAAAATCTAAAGAGCTTCATACAAGTCCCATGAGATATTACAAGCTGTGTTTCCAAAAGAGCTTTCTGTAAAGTATGAATTGTTTTCATGTATGGCTTTGCGCATTCATATGCATGTGCATTCTGTAGGATGTTTTCTTTTGATCACCAAAGTCCTAAATCCTTTGATTACTGCTTTCTTTGTACATGCCAAATTTATTATACTCTACCTTTGACTTAACGAGGGAGCTGAAATCCACTTTCAAGGCTGAGACAATTCTGGTGATCAACCAGATGATAGTTTTTGCTAATTACCAGTTTTGATATTTCAAAGCCTCTCAGAGTTCTGGGTCCTGTCCCATCCACACTTCCCATTTCTTTTAGTCTCACAACCAATGAAACTGAAGAATGTCTAGTATTTGTCTGTCTTGTTTTTGATTTGCTAAAGGAAGAAGCACAGTCACAACTTTCTTTTATTTTAGGATAGGAAGATAGAAGAGCTTCGCCAATCTCTGAATAGGTACAAGAAAGTTCAAGACATGGTGATATTGGCTCAAGGTAAAAAAGGTATTGTACAATCAAAAAAAAAAAAAGAACTCTACTCTCACTTAAACTCTAGGTGCATTGTGGTAGTGTTGTATCAACTCTTAGACTTAGTATCTTTGGAGGCATCTCTTAGTTCTTCAACTGGTGTGAACTGGTAAATTGCCTTTTTTTTGTCCAGGCAGCTGCACATTTGGGTGCTGTCCCATTTGCCATCTGGCAGTAGTAACTTCTTGTCAGGTTGCTTATTTCCCCCTTGTAAAATTAGTTTGAATCTGATAAGCTCTCAGGCTCTTTACATAGCCTCCTGAAATGCCTTTCAGGGTTGGCTGCTACAGTAACCGCTAAAAATTGCTGTTCCCCTCTTTTACATGTGTTTCCAGGGAGGGAGTTGGTAGCTGAGCAGAGCAGTGCCTGAGCGTGCACGTTCCTACAAGCCAAACCAGCACCGCCCCAGCAGCTGCACGCGCTGTAGTAGCAATACCCAGCCGAGAGCTGCAAAAATGTCTGTAGCAAAATAGACGTGCTGCCAGGACTGTGTTGCGATGACACACCACATCTTTGACGTGTAGTGGAGCCTTCACAAACCAACACGTGCAGCAGCTGCGGAATAGTTCTCCTTCCTTACCACAGTTGGGGCCAGGCTGGCTTTTCCTACCAGTCTTTTTTCACACACCCCAAAAAAGAAGAGCCTTCTCTGCCACCAGATAATGAGCTTAGCTGTGTGGCTGAAATAGTAGCTATAATAAATACCATAATATGTAATGGTCCATTCCATGTGTTCCAAGACTGGTGGAGGATTCCAGATCCAGGAGCTTATAATCCCCAAAGGTGATAAACCTTGAGGTGGTCATTAGTTCAATGTAATTGCATTGAATACCCTATCCCTCTCCTGTCTCCCTTGAAATCAAAAGAAACACATGTAGAACGTTACAGTGAAATGGTTGCAAGTTTTCAGATGAAAACACTTAGATTTTAGAAAATCAGTATCTCCCTTTACAGCAATGATCCTGGCCTGGTGGGTTTTTTCCCTGCAGCGTCCTGTTCTTTCAGCACTCAGGTTGCATTTTGTAGGTGACTGTCCTCTGAAAGAGCTGTTGCCAACAAATTTTAGACATTAGGATTCTGCTAATGTATGCACGTATAACGTATGTGCAACTTAAAAGCCTGTGTGCCAGTGTTCTGTTACCACCTTATGGAAACCTCTGATGTCATTGAGTCCTCTGAAGGCCACCGACGGCCAGCCCAGCCTTCCACAGACCTTGAATTGACCCGAGCTTATTGCCTGAGCTTCTTTAGGATGGACAAGGGCTTTTGTTGTCCATGCAAATGTTGGAGGTGGATGGCCTTCCTAGGAGAGGGATGTAGGAGCTCCCAGGGATCCTTTCAATGAGTGAGGATTGTCAATAGCCAGAAATGAGTGAGGAAGCAAATGTATTTTTGTGGTGGTGGATTCATGGTTGGGCTCTTGGGCCAGGGCAGGAAAAGTGGAGGGCAGAGCCCCATCTGGACATGCTGCTGAGACTGGGGCTAAGACCCAGGGAAAGGAGAGGTTCCTGGTGCCCCTTTTTGCTTCTGCCTGACTTCTGAGAGGCCATCTCTGTGGGGAGGTGATGATTGCATTAAGGAGATCCTGACCTCCACTCCTAAGGGCACCGGCTGATCTACAGGGCCGCATGAAAGCCCTTAAGCACAGTCTTCAGCTGCCTGTCCAGCTCCCCCGCGAGCACTGCAGCCCTGAGGGGGGTGCAGCAGTGGTTTCGGGAAGCAGTTTCTCTCGGTCTAGATATTGCTGTTTCATGCAGTGCTATGCCTTCAAAGACAGAAGGATGTTAAAACGGACCTCAGGTCTCTGGGAACTGTGCTTTGTGGCCAATTCATGGAGCACGGACAGAGATTTCAAGCAGTGAAAAATGGGTGAGAGAGGTTTTTGCTGTGAACAGATTTTAGCTTATATTTGCATCAGATCTTTAGTGATTGGTGCTAAGTTTCTGCTCACTTTTTAGGAAGTATTGGTTGCCTTTTAACTTTTTCTTGTCATTTTCAGTACTCTGGTATCGATGACAAATGTGGAAATCCAAGCCTTTTGGTGGTACTGAGGCAGCTCAGGAGCAGCAAGTCACTTGTTGGGAGCAGAGGATGCCAGATGCTGGTGTGGGCTACGGTGTTGATTAAATGAGACAGTCAGTCTGTGGCAGTCTGCAAACATAATGTAGTCTCTTTAAAAGCTGGTGTTAGACTCTCGTGCAGTGAGCTGTGTTTTTCCTTTGGGTAACTTGAAGATACCATAGAGACATCTTAAGTTTCAGGCAGACTTGACCCCCTGGTCTTTCTCTAGTGAATAAAGGAAAAGAAGTATTTAGAGTGAAATTCCAGAACATGGGACAGGAAATAACTACTCTGGTTTATTCAGCTTGTTGAAACTGATCCCACTAAATGCCCTGAGGGCATTTGCTGGGCTTTTTGCTATCAGATATATGTCCTCCCTCTGCTCCAACCCTGATACTTGGTGGTAGTTGAACTGGAAAGCAACATTTCGCAATGACTCCCCTTCTTCTATTGTAGTCTGTCCTGAAAAAAAATAAAATCCTAACCTCTTCCTTTTTTGGCCCATAAATGAACACACCAGCTGTGCCTTGCATGGGAGCGAGGGTCATCACGTATCCAGAAGTAAAACCAACAAATTTCTACTTTCTCTCCCTTCAGGCAAGGAAAGCGACAGTGAAGACTTCTTGAATTCAGGGTCTGTTTCCACAGTTTTATTGGACACACCAAGTCTGACTGACCCGGAGAAAAGCCTGTCCCCAACCCCAGTAACAGCATCTCCAATCCATGATGAGTTTAACGTAAATATTCATGAAGAGGTATCTTTTTTTCCTTCCTCATTTAATGCTATCGCTCCTTGAAAACATTGCTTGTGCTGAATTCATATTGCAGATGCCAAAACTCAAGTTTCTGAGAAGATTTTTTTTTTTGGAGTTGCACGGTTTTTAGTAATGTCCTGTGTCCCTTTGGAGGAGTTTCATTTGAGTTCAGTTAAGTTTATTTTTCTTAACCATCAAATGGGATCAGGAGACAGCAAATAGCTGTGTTTGTTGTGAAAATGGGTCTAAACTACCTTTTCTATCAAACATAGGAACTACTTTTCATATCAAACATAGCTGTTTTAGGAGCTGCATTTAATTTGTCAGGAACTTGAAGTAAACATGTTGGGATTTACTTAATGTATCCTGTCATATTTAGAAGAATGCAATCATCATTACATCCATTCAGTTAAATGATAAGTAGGTTGTGGTCCAATCTGATTTTTACAATCACATTTTCCAGTATTAAACCTATAGATCTCTTCTCTTAAAGCTCTGACTCAGACTTGACTTACTTAACTAAACAGCATGAGCACACTGTGAAGAAAACTAAATTCAATTAAATGTTTAGCAGCTTTTGGTATTCTCTGAGCGGCTGAGGACAGGACTAAACCTGAAAAGTGAACTACCCTTCACGGGATCTGTGGTAGAAAGAGATTCAGCAGGCAGCTTTAGGAGACGTGAGATTTTTGTCTGTGCTGTAGCTTATCTGTGCAGTGATTCATGTTTTATCTTCAGTGCCATCTTTCAAGTAGTAAGTCATTGTATTACAATAGAAAGAAAGAAGAAAAACACTTAACCTTATTTCAGATCCTTCTTTTCATAGTTTATCTGTTGCTCTTTTTTCATTTATGACTGCTTAATTTCAGCTCAAAAGTGTAACACATATTCTTCATTCTTTTTAGAATTCTTTACAGATCCACACCAGTATTTTACAGATTTCAATCCCTTCTTTTTCATCAACGTCCAAGAGCTCAGAAACTGCTGCAGAGAAAGTGAAAACGCAGCCTAGGTCAGACGCTGCAACTGAAATGAGGTATTATTGTTTCCATGTATTTTTCAATTGTAAACCCAATATTCTGTGATGTTTAATGAGAGTAATAATCTGTCAATTACTGTATTGTCAAGACATTAAGTCACTTAAACAAGGCTAGTGTTCACTTGACTAGCTATAGCAAACTAAGCTTATGTTCCTGTTATCAAGAGCATTGATTAAATCTTTTTCAGTGTGCATAGATTAAATCTTTTTCAGTAAGCAAGTATTAGTTTGGTTACTGTGGCTATAGCTGTGCTTATACTCGATACCAGCTGCTTCGCAAGAAATTAACAGAAGGAGAGAAAAACTGATCTAATGTAATGAAGGACACAGAATCATTATTTTTATCTAGGTTTACATCATCTAGGTCTGGCTGAGATAGAGTTGGCTGTGCTAGCACAAATGCGTTCTTGATGATTTGCATTCAGACATTTTCCACAGTTGGTAAAGATTGGTGTAAGGCACTACTAAAACTGCCACAAAAGGACTGTCCAGCTCTAACCTTGAGCTCTTAAAGGAGCCCCAGAAGGAAACCCAAGCAGCATTTCAGAAGATCAGGAGAAAGAGAGATCCCTGCTGCCATCCTTCGGCATGATGAAATGCAAAGATATTTCTTTTCTCGCTCTTATGAGAGCCCTGCGTGAGATTTTGAAAGCCGGATGAAATGTGAAGGCACAGTGTCCCAGGGAAGGTGGGATGGGGATGCGTGGCTGCACCCCAGGGCTGTGCCTGAGCTGTGGCACCCAGGGGTGCCCCATGCTTCAACTCAGTGGCAGCCTCCTGGGTGAGAAGTGGCTGTCAGCTTCCTCCAGCATTGCTAAGTCTGCACCATTCTTGCCTGGGTGGGAAAACCTGGCCCCTGCAGATCTGGACTGGCACCATAAGGAGTACTGAAAAGCACACTGGACTCATAGCTAGACAAAGGCTGTGCTAGGTATTTTCCTTCTGGGTCCGAATCCCTGGCTTTGTCTAAATGAAAATCAAATACTAAGAATAATGTAATGGCTAATTAATGGCTGGAAAAGTAATTTATGGCTGGAGAGCAGCCCTGAGGAGAAGGACCTGGGGGTGCTGATTGACCAGAAGCTCAGCATGAGCCAGCAATGTGCAGTCACAGCCCAGAAGGCCAGCTGTGTCCTGGGCTGCATCAAAAGCAGTGTGGCCAGCAGGTCAAGGGAGGTGATTCTGCCCCTCTACTC